CGTAATTTGGTTTTATATACTGCCGAAACGACACGAGTAGGTAAATTCCTAGCGTTTAATACAACCAAATCTCTCACTTTGAACTCGTGTTTGTTCGTTTTGCCTTCGGCACTGCTGCTTGTTTCTTTTAAACACCCTGGCTTTCAGCCATAGTGTCTGTGACGCGACTTAATACGTCAAAACGCTTTGACAGAAACGCTTCCACCTTCTTGCGAATCGCAACAGGGCTGATATCATCCAAGCCTTCGGGTATCTCTCCCCCACTAAGCCCTGATGTGGCAGGGGTAGCGTTAAAGGAACGCGAGGGTTGACCAAAGCATTCACGTACAATGGGCTGAAGCCTGTCGATGTATGCACCGCGTTATTCCCCCAACGCGAACTCAATGAGTGGGATCATCGTGGTCCATTTCTTGGGTGTTTCAGCACATACACTCCGAAGCATATCACCAATAACGCGATTCATGCGCTCGGTCTGACCATCGGTCTGCAAATGATCCGCCGTGGACATGCCCAGTCGAGCGTCCAGCACTTAAATCTAAAATTTACCGGTCTCTATCAAAGACAATTGCCACAGGCAATCCATGTTGTCAAAACACACGATCCATGAAGAGCGTAGCTGTTCCTTCTACCATCGATGGAGTCCGGCACTGTCGCTAAGTGAGCGATCTTGCCCAGTCGGTCAACAAAGACCACAATCTAAGTGTTGCCTGCCGCATCATGCGGTAGGCCAAACACAAAGTCCATACTAATGAGCTGCCACGACCCAGAGGGTACAGGCAAGCTCGCCAAAGGCGCAGCCATACTAGGCGAGTGTTTTACCCTTTCACACGTTTCACACGTGCGCACATATGTCTCACCCATTTATACAGCTTGAGACACCAATAATGGGTACTCACCGAGCTGTAGGTCTTTTCACGACCTACATGGCCGAAGTGGTGTGTCATGGGCCTCATAAATTATCTGATACTTGAGGTTCTCATCATGAGGTACCGGCTGGTCCTCCGACCCTGCACCATAGTACATTGGAGAATTGGCCAATGCATAGCAATTTAATCGCGCACTATTAGGTGGTGATAGCTTCACCTTAGTGTGCTCAAACTCAGCGCTGACCAGCGCCTGGAGCATTGCAACACATGCCTCATCGCGTGCATACGCCACACAAATACGATCCGTTACTGACGAACTCACAACAGTGAGATGAGCAAGCTTATTGTCAAGTCTACGCGATAACGCGTCATCGAAAACATTCTGTTTTCCCGGCTTATACTTTACCTCGAAGTTATACTCCGCAAAAAAGGAGAGCCAACGAGCCATAATCTGAGAAAGATAAGGCGACTGTGTCGCCGTGCGTAACGACGAATGATCGGTATTCACCACAACGGCTTATTTGATCCGAACAGATGTATCCTAAAATAAACAAGGGCATACTTCATCGCAAGTAGCTCCTTGTCATGAACTGGATAGTTCTTCTCTGCAGCTTTCAGCTGACGAGACTCAAACGCGATGACGAGCTCTCGACCCTCAGAGTCAAATCGTAGTAGCGCACTGCCAATAGCAAAGCGTCACACACGACGCTAAAAGGACGATCAGGATCAGGCAAAGTCAGAATTGGTACCTGAAGGAGACTCTCCGCAATTTAAAAGACTCGTGGTGCTCGGTGCTCCAACACCTTTTCACATCATTTTAAGGAGAATTGACAAGGCCTATCTACTTCCGCATCGTTATGACTATACTTATGTAAGTAAGTTACCAAATTTAAAAATTAAAAATGATCACTTTGGCTCCGCAGAACCGGCCAATCCACTATAGCTTTGACCTTGACAGGGTCTGCCCGGGTTCCTCGCTTCCCAATGAAGCATCTCAAAAATGGTATCTCTTCCGCGCCGAAGATGCATTTCTCAATATTGGCATATAACTTATGCATCCGCATGCAATCGAGCACAGCTTGCAGATGTTCAATGTGATTCTCTACATTAATCTTGCCGTTTTTGGCTTAACAATTGACGAATATATTGCCATGTTTGTCTGTGCATACGCGAAACAACTGCGTCACCAGACGACTGGACGTTGCAGGTGAGTTAAACAGCCCTTGGGGCATTACTAACCACTCCCAGAGAATACCATTTGTAGTGCTGACCGCTGTGAGCGGGACATTACTAGCTCTCATGAGCAGTTGGTAATATCCATTGACTAAGTCAAAGGCAATGTACATCCCACCATATTGTTCTGAAGAACAACCTTGCGAGGAATTGATGTTTGAGCCGGGATAGTGCTGCATTCAGCTTATTGTAAGCATGCACTATTCGCCACTTCCCACTAGGCTTCCTTACACAAAACGTGGGCGTAGAGTGCGCAGACTTACTCTCGCGCACCATGATAGCCGCATGTTTCGCACAAAAGAACTCGTCAATAACGTCACATTGTTCTCATGGCAACTCCCTTTGCCGCGTCACGCAGTATTATGTTGCTGGAAACAATTAAATCTCGTGACGTGCACCACTATCCGGGCGTAACTTCGTAAGAGGTTCTCTGGAGACAACATCGCCATACTCCTATAACAAAAAGAAAGTACGAATCCGATGGTTTCTTTAGGATTTCTGATCCGCTTCGCGCATTCAGCACCTTCTTGGTATCCTCAAAAACTGCTTTAAACAAAAGCGATGAGGAATTCGACTCCTCTTTGAGTCTTACAATGACCACATCGGCGATATCGTCTGCCTTTAAGGCAATGACAAACTCGACAAAGGACAACTCGTCCAGATTTAGCAGAGCGTTACTTTGGGTACAGTCGAAGTAGTCAACGACTCTTTGACATCTCCCAGTCAAAACATTGAAGAGTGTATATAACTGTTCACCATCACCGTCATCACGATATTATTATCGCTACTCATGATGCTCTCAGCATCTGACGCAGTAGCGTCTACAGGTGTAAGCACCTCAAGGTCAAATACCACTTCGTTTACTGACTGCATCTCACCTTTTGGGTCGATTCCTCGGCACGAGGTGATTGCGCCTCGTTGTTATTACAAACAATCGTCATTATTGACTTCACCCGACCTCCTAGGGCTCAGCGTCACCAGGTGCTTTCACCTCGTTGTCCTTGAACACAACATCCGCTAGTGACTTCACCCGACCCTCCAGGGTCAGTACCTCGTCATCTATGTCCCTTGGACCAGTTTCGTGACATTTCGGCTCACAGTCATACACACACCGCCAGGTGTTTAGTGATGCAACATCGCATGTCATATGTGTCAACTAGAGGGTTCTCAACCACACTACTGATAGCCCTTGTCTCGCCGGGATCATTATCCTCAACACTTATAGCGTCTACAAAGTCGAATAAGCCGCCATCTAGCATATTGACCGACTCGGTCCAATATCCGCGCCAAAAGCGCTTTTGCTTCCTAGAAGAGGCAGGTTCAGGACTCTCCAGAGCCCCACCGGAGCGTTTCGCGTTGCGCCTAAGGTCTTCGACCTCCAGTCAATCCATGGCTCATGACGTTCTAGCCATGCCATGCTTAAGATGAGGTCATACCTCGTATCAAGGTCGAATCCCAAACAGCGTCCATGCTGTTAAAGTCCAAAATCTTTAAATGTAAGTCCATAGGTACTTGAATGTGTACTGTAACACGCGTACCCGACGATAAACGAACCTTGACTGTGTCGCTTTCACGCGCTCTAAGCGCTTCAGCATACTGCTGACTACCTTGCACGGTGAGTATAATTGATGGATGCCCCCGAAATAATCAAAACAATCCATGTCTATCAAAGACGTCCCTTCGACTAGAGCATTGTTATACTCCTGAAGCATATGAATACGCTTGTTAACCTCTTCTTTCACCCTGGTCGATGAGATATTCTACGCCCTTAGGGCCAAGGATAGGGCGCAGCTTCTGCAACCCTTCCTGTTGTGCCTGTGACAGGCCAACCGCTGACATCTCATCGATGTCCATTCTCACACGCAAACCCAGGTGCGGGATTGACTACAAGTGCTAACAGATGTATCCGGGATACTGTAGCCAAGCTACTTATGCACTATGTGCAGAGGAAGACAAAGCTCAGAGATCTTCTACGTCTTAGGGTGCTTAACCCTTCCTAGGCTAGCTCGTAAGCTTGTGCTTATCGGTTGTTACATCTGGGTCCCAAAGAGATGTAAAATACACACCTTCGTGTAACCCCGTTACAGACTTTATATATGGTAATATATATCGTCTATACCAAAGCTCTCTGTTTTAATCTATTTTGTGATAATGAAATACACATATGCATACTAGCTATGCCTATTTCGCTTGGCCATCGTTGATTGAACTGCTTGTGTTGGCTGATATAATGGCCTATATTAGCCAATGAGCAGATATTTTGTTTTTTTTGATCAACTAACGTAATATTCATGAATATTGTCAGCCGTGACGGTATTCGCATCGTCACCAAATGATGGTGCCAATGTAATGCAACAAGCTGACCCTTTGTCCAGGACTTCAACAACAATACTTGAAGTCTAAAACTACCACAGACACTCACAGTCTAGGTTGACTCTAAGCAAGCACATATATACTCAGGGATTTTGCATCGCAACGTTGTATAACCTGTCTCATTTCTTATCGAGTCAAGAATTGAGCATGCGCACCCTTTCTGTAAACTAACGGTATCAGCAGAGAATCTGCTTCTTATTCTTCAATAGCTAGCGTAAAGTAAACGCAAACGCAACAGCCCAAATGGTCTTGCACTTGCGTTAAATTTGTACCTGTTTATTATCGCTAGAACCAAACGCCGCACTCAGCGTCACTTGGGATTGTAAGGTAGAGTATATCACCTGAAAAAATAGCTGATGTGTCACAAATGACACCGACATGATAGATCAATGCATAAGTGTTCTTAATATTCTACCAGTAGTCAACCAGCACGGTTGCTCACTCAGTACTTGCATGGGACACTCCCTACTACAACAATAAGGCACCCGCAAGAGCGTAGACTCTACTAACGTGTCTCTGGTCAGCTGTTTATCCAGGGGGGAGGCGAGAAACGTCAATCTCGTCGTCGTCAGCATCGTCCAAAAGCGTGCGTGTGGCTCCCTCAAATGTCGAAAGACCATCTAGGTTGTCAGCCACACTGGTGCTGCGAGCCATTGCAATGACACCGCTGCGATGGATCTCTGTGATGCCCAACGGCTTCAGCAGGTCCAAAAAGGCCTCAATACGACCAGGAGTACCAGCGAGCTGCACCATAACCTGGTGTGGCCGCACGTCAATGACCTTAGCATCAAATAAGTTGGCTAGTTCGACGGCCTCAGCACGGGATCCAGGCTCTGCACGCAAGAATAGCAGGTATCAGCTCTAAAAATCCAACCAACAAAACTCAGGTGGCAAGGATTGCCGGTCTTAAGCCGTCAACAAGAATAAAAGTGTCAACGTACCAACCGTTGATACCTTGGCCAGCATCAAATCGCGCTCGACGTAGTTCTTTTCGGCATTTTTGCCGCTACTAAGGATGTTGACCACTGCCACGAAAACGACGTCTTCCAGCTGCTTTTTCATCTACAAAAGCCAACACATATTGTCATTTTACTATCTCCATGTAATGAACCTTACATCAATAGCATCCATACGTTGGCAACACTCTGAGCAGTGCCATTAACGACAACTGTCATGCGGGAAAGCTCCTCGACCTCCGTACGACCCACCACCAGACTGTCAATGTTGTACCCTACAGCAAACACATAACAAACCAATAGAAAGATTAGAGCCATAATGACGGCCGTACAAATCCTTCCGGGTCTTTCTACCTCGAGCAGCAAAGAGGTTAGCGATCTCAGCCAGGCAGCCAGGCTGGTTAACCACCAGTGCAGCAATCACATGACGCTGGCTCTGATCCGCCCCACTGAATGCACGCGGAAACTGCTTAAGGGCAGTGCGAGACGATACGATGGAAGGCAAAGACCGCGGGAAAGCGCAACGAGCCAACGGCGCTACAGATCTCCGCAACATCTGGGACGAATGTCAAATGAGGCGTCGAAAGTCTGCCAAGTGTTACTACTTTGGGGTTTCAAATGTAAGGTGGTTGCGCAAACAACAGATGCGCTCACTAAAGTACGAATACACTTCAGGAAATTGTTGTAAATCTGATGCGCCATGGGCGTACGCAGTGCTTCCCTATGTATTGAAGCAGCTTTCACTATATAAAATTATTATGCTATTCTAATACTGCCGTTTCGTCACGCTTCTCCGAAGCCCGTGTCAGCCTTTCTGACGGTACAAAAGCGCCTGCGACTGGGTAAGAAAGAGGTCACGGAACAGATATTATCACGTAATACGGAAAAGAAGGCTCCATTGCCTGTTTATTACGAGATGTATATAAGTCATGGCGCAACATAGGTAAAGCATGCGAGGCTGTCTGGCTGGCCTATTGTTTTACTGCTGCCTCGATTTCAGCGCTGCGTTAGCGTGCCGCACAAGTGCAGTTGTCCGTAGATCTTTGTTGCTGTGCTGGGAATTGCCATGCAGTACGCTTGGGTTTATGAAAATGTTTCATACACATCTTTGTCGTAGGTGCAAATGAACCATGCTGACGATGTCATCACTGACTGGAACATGTCAATTTCTGCGTATCGCACGCTGCAGCTTGCGCTAGAATACGTACGGCCATGGAGAGCTTAGTGTTGATAGTTGTCATCTTCGTGGTCGCCGGTATAAGTTGCGGGTTGATTAGCTGCGGCATTTTTTTTGTGACTTTCGTGAAGTTATGTGCTATATGAGCCACGAAGTCTAGTGTAGTAGACACAGTACGCATGACCCTGAAATCGACCTCTTTGGATGAATAAGTTTGTCACCAAACTTGCAGGCATCTGGTGACACGATTGAATCAATGATCGCAGATGGACTGATTCGTAAATCTTCGCTTTGACAAACTTGGGCGGCGCATTGTGTAAAGTAGATGTTTGTGATGTGAATTTGTCCAGGAGAGCATGACTAGCGAGCTAGATACGACGCTATTGGCAACCGAGCGGATGAGTTTACGGTACCAAATCACACCAGCCAGCGCTTGGTCGCCCTTGCTCGCAACGCAGCATAGCGCATTGATGTCCAGTTGCGCCTATGGTCAACACGTCTCACAGAGCGATTTTCGCAGATAACAAGTAAGATAACTGGCTTTGCATCTTGACGCGTCTTTTTGATCAGCAGCACTGCCGACAACGTCATCCGCCCACCTGTACTGTGCTCCACCGTGCTAACTATCGGTGTTAGCCGTGCTAGCATAACGATTTAGTTACGGTCTCATCTGCGCCAAGTTGCAAATCGAGCTCTCGCCAGGCTTGAGCGTAAAGATTGGAGCTACTACGAGCCGCACATTGTCAATCGTGAATTCCAGAGACTGGAGAACTTGTGCTTTTTGTTGTTGCCATGTCAACAGACAGCTCGACAATGATGGCGTCACGATTTAGGACGATAGTGGCGACATACACAGCCAGGCTTACTAAATATGGCGGCCCCGGCAATTTATCGTCTAGCGGTTCAGAACAGCTAGAGGTGAATCATGCGGTGCTTCTAATGCTTCGTATGTGTTACATTGTGACAAAAGCAGGTCGCTATCGGTATCTGCAGCGTAGCACACTGAGAATTAAGACTGAACCACCATTTGTAGTAAGTGGATTGTCGCCAGAAACCACATGATCTTGTGCAGCTTCTTATGCATGAAATCGTGAGTCAGTGGCCTTTTGTGTCGGAGAATATTAGACTTATCTTGCCTTTTGCTGACGACTAAGATGTTACATGCATATGCACGATAACGTTGAAGTTGTCAGCCGCCTCATTGTACTTGTATCGTGCCACTGGCTCGCAACGCTACGCGACGCTTAGAATAAATATCCTTTGCCCATTCTCCTTGAGAACATGCCGTTGACATTACCAGACGATCGATTCTTCTGCCCAATCTTTAGAGCTGCAAACTACGTGTGTCAATTGATAGACGCCACCAAACATTGAACCATTTCGAATCGAGCTTCTATATCTTTTGTCCAAATCCCGTCACAAATTGCCTGGACCTACGCACGTTTTCTCTGACTTTAGCCACGTGCACTGCATCTTCCATCAAGTAGCAGCTTCAGTGCCAGCTAAACGATAGCAAAGCAAAAAAAAGAAAGAAAACGCCAGGCAACGGGCGAGGAAAGGCGCGGCAAACTCGCTGGAACATCGGCAGAAGACACCGCGCACAGAATAATACAAATAAAAGGGCTAAAGCTTGTCGTGCTTACTTGTCATTAATCAATTGAAACTGCAAGCTCTCTCATTCGTGTGGTTAGTAACATGACGCAGCCTGCTTTTTCTTGGTTCATGGCAGGTATCGCTGGATACACAGAGGCTCAGCTCGTGGTGCTTGGATTAAGTGTTGTGGTAGTGGCCGTAGCTCTGCTCTCGTACTTCGTGGTGGCACCAGAGTACCAAAAGCACCTGGAAAAACAGTACGCAGCACTGGCGCACGCGTCCTCGAAGCGGCAGCTAGATGATCAACAGGCGCTGCTCGCGCGAATGCAATTGCGCAAGCACAAGTCACTCGGTGCCTGGGACATTGAGTCGGGCTCAAGCGACGACGATGGACGACATCGCTGCAGCTTGCAGCGGCGACACTCGCATATGCGACCCGCTCCTGCCAGTATCTCTTCACCAAGGGACATGGTCACCATGGCGGCTCAACTTGCACGAAAAGAACGCAATGCACGTCGCCGCAAAAGCGAGAGTGATGCGCTCAAACAAGCTACCGTGCAGCGAGCAGACATGCTACGGCGTCGAGTGCTGCTGCGGAAGCTGGAGGAGGAAATTGCTGGTACAGTGAAGGCGAATAAAGAAGCTCAGGCAGCTGCAACATCGAATTCTAGGATGGCAAACACGGCGAGTTACACACTGGATCTGAGCAATGATCGACTCAAGATGCTACAGGAACATCCAGCGGACTGCGTCAAGGAGTTCACGATTCTTGCTCGAGCACAGTCACTGACCGTCACCTTACCTATTGTCGACAATGCGGCAATGGCCAAAAGCATTACCGAGACCGCACCAGAACCTCACGAAGTAAAGCAGGCACTGAAGGTGCTGCACGATGTACTGAGCTTTTACTTGTCGGTTGACCATCGTGATATGACCAAACTCACGGTATTTTGCAATTCACTGCTGCAGCATGATGGCCTCAATCGTCTACGTGCGTTTGAAGCATCTCGCGACAAAGACGTCCGAGCGCTGTCCATCTCCATCATTGAAAAGGCTGTGCCTGCTATTTGGCATTAAGAGACATCAGCCACTTATCTATAAACCTCAGCTTCGGCCCATGTAAAGCTTCACATCTCAATTGGTGAGTAAATAAATACACCGTAGTAGCTCAGTTAGAGAATCACACTTATATACATGAATTATTGTCGTCATTATCATCTTCAAGCTCGGTCCGTCATGTGACATATCATGGCTTTCATACTTCGCTAACAATCAACCACCTATTTCTGCTGGAACGACGCCGCTATCCTTTGCAGCGAGCTTAAGAGCACCGTTCGGAGCGCCAGTCGTGAGATAGATCCACCACAAAGCAGCACACTGCCAAGAGTGGAAGGTGTGAGCTTGGAGTTCCACAGGATGAGCGTTTTTGGCTGCGAGGAGGGCGCTGAATTATCAGATACAAATTCCACAAATGCCACATGATCACTCAGCAACAGCGGACCACTCTTTTCAATTCTATAACAAATACTAGGAATTCTGTCCGAGCGATCGGGTGGTCCTGCTGATAGGATTTGCTCTTCTACGCCAAGCGACAGGAGGCGGCGATGGCCAGCAAGCCCATGGCCTTCCCCATCCTTCAATGTCGACCCACAGCTGAACCACTCCATCTGCAACCATGCATCGTAAGCTTCATCTACTGACGCGTTCACCAGTTGTGCTATTGTGAGCTCTTGTCCATCGCTGTCCGTGTATGCCTTGAAGGAGGCGGCGTCTACATATCGATTTGCCATTGTATGAGAATGTATTTGAGAAGAATGGGACAATGCATATAAACGATTGGTCAATATGATAGAAGTTGAAGTGACTGCTTTATGAAACAAACGTTAGTAGTCTTTCTGCTACTAGCTAAGACGTTGAAGACAGACGAATCTAGTGACGTCAGCGACTTCAATGACTTACTTGCGCAAATTTAGAGTTTTCTGCAGACAACCCTGACAATCTGCTTTGAAAACGCTACTGCTATTCCAAATGCCGGTTTGTCTTTGCGGCAGCACTTACGGCTAGAGCTCTCAGCAAGCTTTGCAACGCCCACCGCAGGATAACCTTGGTGAATCCACCGCAACAGAAAAGATACCCAATAACGCTGGGCTCCATCTTTAGCGACCAGATCACAAGCGTTGCCGGCGTGCTTTCTGGAGACGCAGCGACGTCGATGAACTGCACGAACGCAAAGTAGTTCAAAACTGGAAACAGTCCAAACTTGCGGATCTTATAGTAGACCGAAGGGATCTTCGAAGAGTCCCATTGGGTAGCAGCAAAACTTGGTCGCCCTCCGTCACTATCTACTATATCGTCCATCGGTAGTCCAACTGACAGAATTTGCTCCTCAACACCCAGTGAAATGCGACGTATGTGGCCAACGTAGCCTCGGCCTTCGCCCTCGTGCTGCTCGAATCCCCCTGCAAGCCAAACTTCCTCTATCCACGCGTCAAATACTTCCGAGGGAGAGCCAACAACACATTCGGACACCACCAACTCTTGTCCCTTTCGCCATTGGTACTCTTCGTAGGCTAGCGCATCGACGTATCGCGTTGGGTCCAATTGAGTATTACGCATTCTGCTCTCGCTTGACACTAATTATCACATCGTATTTGTGTTTGTCAGGTGGATATCGGTATTGACCAATAAAAAGCTCTGGTGCCTGACTGCTCGCGTGCATGGTCACCGACTGCAGAAAGTCATCATGATTGTGCGTAAAATCAAACGGATAGAAAACCTATGAAATCGAAGCAGCTGTGTATGCGTTTGACGTATCTATTATGACCGTCTGCGTTAGTGGTGTCAGATTGCGACATTTCGTTGATACGTCAAGGATTGTGCGGGCGTGACAAACCAGATGACATTTCAGCGAAGGACAACAGCAGACCATAAAGTTTTTGCAATGCTTCCTCTTTGCAGATGATGTGCAGGCAGCCAAAGTGACACAATTGTTTCTTCAAAAAAGTGGCAGGATGTACATTTTCATTGTGACTTTGGTCGTCACCATCGATCATTTGATCTCCTACGAACGTGGATCTGACAAAACCATGCATCGAAAATTATAGGCCGAGGCTACCAACAAGCTTCAAAGCCTCGAACGTCACGCCAAGCATGCCTTTTGTAGGTACAATCTATCAATATGTTGACTAACTACTGACTTTTTCATTTCGAAACGCTACATAAAGATGTTTTTAACTGTATCCTTACTCTATTGGGTTTTCTCGGTAATTTACAGCACCAATTTGGAGGTTTTGCGCTGGCAGTTGGCGCAGATGACGCCAATCAGTGTGAGAAGCACCGTAGCAACGCTGACTGCAATACCGAGGATAATCCAGTTGTCAGGAGCCATTCCGAGAAACTTGATCTCGCCACCACTATCGACCGCCGTGCGTGCATGACCAGCTCGCGCTCCAGTCGGAATAACGGCGAAAACACTGAGTCCACAATTGATTTTCGAGTCGATGGCCAGGCGCAAGAAACCCTTTTCGCCCCAGTTTAACCCGTACGAATTCTTAAGAATCCAGTAGTCAGTCGTACCGTCAGAACCGTAGCCAACAAGCACAAGTGCGTGATTAATATCGGCGCTGGAAGCAAAGTCACCATCATTTGGACAGCTGTAAATACCGCCTTTGTATGCGTCAAAAAAACCGCCAGAGTTAATGGCCACTGATATAGGTTGTTGCTGCAATGCCAGCTTCAGCAACTCGGTTGGGTCACTGCTCTTTTCACATGAAGGTCCCACAACTTGCTCCCATCCAGATATGCTCGCAGCAGCGTCTTCTATTGTAGAGTTGTTGCAAGCATTGGCTAAAGCTGCTCTAGATGCTTCCTCGGTATCCTCTTCGTTGTATGGCAGGTCCAGCTGGCTCAGCAGCGACCAATGCAACTGCGCTGCGTCGGCAAACGCGGCATGGGTCATACCTCCATTGCATGCGTCATTCCTCGAGCCCCAGATCATTTTGCTATGCAGCCAACTCGATCCATCGACGCCGCCCTCAGCCCAGCAATAGTCAAAAGTTGCAGTCATCTCTCTTGAGCTGCACTCTAAAAATTGTTGCGGTGATAGCGATTGTGGCTCTGTTCCCGCATTCACCGCGACCGCTGTCTCGATACTATCTGCAGCTGCAAAGGCCCAGCAACTGCCACATTGGTTCTGACTCTTGACAACCGTACAGATACTCTGGTTGTGTGAATTATCAGACGAGCACCAATCCAGCGTCTCGCGGTATCCAAGTGTCGAGTTAGCAAGTCGTCGTTGCTTTGTCGCCCGGCGTTGCTGTTGACGCTGTGCCGCTTGATACTCCTGCTGCACTAAGTCGAAAGGTGACAAGTGCCTATCGCCTTCATAATATAAATGCCGTGTATTGACGCCGATTGTGTACGGAAAGACCCAGTCCCGTTCTGTCGCGTGCTTGTGCACTTGCTCGAGGTAGTATACGTGCTCTTCCATCCGGCGTCGATACTCGCTCGCGTCTGAGTCCATCCCTTCATCATGAAGGAACTGCGTCACCATATCGCTCGCAGACACTGCAATGCCGTCTCGACCCACCCATAGACACTGCACGTTGTTGCAGCTCTGCAATGTGCCAAAGGTGGAAAATACACTACGCGCTTGGATCGCTAATGGGACAATGACTGTGATGAGACTAACGAAGTTTATCCATAACAATGGCGTCATGTTTAGTTAATCTATGGGCTAGTAGCTGGTTGACTTGAAGGCTGCAGCTGGAGTCGGAATTGGTCGCTGCACGATATCGACTTGTTGCCTTGTCAAGTCTCTCGTTTGATTGCGGTATAAGGTTTCACTACGAATTTCAACAAGTCGCAGTAGTGAGTCAGCGACTACTAAGATGGACTTATTTGATAGAAACTGCCATTTCAACCTGAAGCAATTGACGTTTGACCAGCTTATATTAGTTAAAGAGCATCGCATGCATGCGAAAAATGGAGCTTTAAATCTTTCATTTTTTACTAGTGTCAAGAAAAAGTTGATCGTCGTCTCATGAACACGCATCTGGATTTTTAGCCATGACCACAAGCGCATGTTAGGACTTGGTTATCAGTCCTGTGCTCTGGCTCGCTTTACATCTTTTTAGGTTTTTGATAGTCGGAATGCAATGTGACGATTTATTCACTTTTAACCACTACAAAGCTCACATGTCGCATTTTATCCATAGAGCAAGTCTCACCTTATTCAAGATGCATACCATTTGGACTATTACGCATCCTGAGTGTTGGTGGGAGCATGTGCCATATATATGGCCGAGTTCTCCTTGCGAATGGCCTTCAATTTCTGGTGCGACACCCATAGGCCAATAGCAGTCAAAACTAGCGTGAGAATCGTGGTTCCAGCGGCAACACCAATCCAAGACGACGGGCTCAATCCTACAAAAATCTTGTCGCCTCCGCTATCGACAGCAGTGCTCGCCTGACCGCCTGCCTTCGCGCCAATAGGTATGACGGGAAAAATGTTCAAGCCACAGTTAATCTTAGCGTCCGCTACCAACTTCATGAAGCCACTGTCGCCCCACGAGCTACCGTACGAGTTCTTGAGAATCCAATAATCGCCATGCAAGCTGTCGGTACCGTAACCCACGAGAAGAAGAGCGTGATTCAGGTCATTCTTGGATAACATCTCGCCATTGTTTGGGCAATTATAGAACCCGCCGGCGTACTCTGCAAAACCACCATTTGACGTGATCGCTACAGCAATGGGCTGTTTCTCCAGCGCCATGCGCAGCAGCAACGTGCAATTACTGGAAACGGTACAATCGATACCCACGATCTGTTCATAACCAGTAATGCTCGCAGCCGCTTGATCTGCACTAACCTTACACATCGACGAAGCGTTTGCGTCCAACACGTTCCCGGAATTAGTGTCATCATACGGCATTGTAAGCCCTGTCACAAGACCCCAGCCGTTTTGAGCCGCATCCATAAAGGCACCATGGGTCATTCCACCATTACATCCGTCGTTTTGGGATTCCCATATAATCTGCGTCTCCATCCAACTAGCACCAGGCACACCGTTGTCAGACGCCCAGCAATACTCAAACGTTTGAGTTGTTTGAAATGTGCTGCACGTCAGGAACTGCTGCGGAGATAAGGACACGGCTGCTGAAGCATTTTCAGCAATCACCACAGCGGTCTCAATAGCATCGGCAGCAACAAACGACCAACAGCTTCCGCAGCTCTTTTGGCTTTTCACGGGTGAACACACAGTATAACCCATGGAGTTGGCGGAGTCACACCAATTCCAGTAATCCAAGCTGCCTGCGCTTGAGATCGTACTGTTCGTTTGAGTCTGAAGACGACGAGAATATGCCGAGGTCATTTCCTGCTCTACAAACTGCTTCGCTGTTAGCTTACGGTAAGGCGATAACGTCAAGTGCCGCTCGTTCACTCCCATGTGATACGAGAACTTGTGGCCAGCATTATTTGCGTACATATTCACGTCTGCATTACCGCAAAAGAAGAATACACACCTTGATGTTAGTATGACGCTTGCAAGCACGCAAAAAAACATTCTCACTCGACTGTCTTCTCACCTTCAATGTACGTCATGTGTTCCGCCAGATTGCGTAGGTTTTCTTGAGTGACATAGTTGCGCTGAATAAATAATTCACGCAGCGCGCGTGAGTCCACGATTTGGCCATTCTCTCCGGCCCAAAGGCACGGCGAGTCGACAGAGCGAACAGAAGGACAGCCAAGAAGAGTGCCTAGTGATCGATTCGTCGTGACGACGGCAGTAGCAGAAGGCGCCATCAATAGCGTAAGAACGACTGCTTGAAAAGGGGGCATAGTCTTAAAACGATTGAGTTCAGGTAATAAGTAGTTTCACTATGGCTGAATCTCTTCTGTCCTAAACAAGTTCACCACCCGCTTTTCACGATTTTGTAAAGGCTCGCCAGATGTCGGCAGAAGAAAACTACATAGACGATGATGGTACTGTACTTACTTCTTCATCTTTCCTGCTGTTTATGTGACAGAAAATTTAGTGTCATTGCAAGAATTAGCAAGCACTGACATGAACATGTTACTGACTTTGCAAGGAACGTTTTTCATTGTCATCCACTGCTTTGAAGCATCCCATAGCGGTTGAATAGGCTGCGCGTGCTGTGCCAGCAATACCTAACAAGCACTGCGTTGTTATTTCAATCAATATAAACCTACGTTGTGGTTAATGCGATAGCGTCGCGTAAGGATCAATCCTACGTACGCACGGGCTTCTCAAAGCCTATTAGACCGACATCTACCGGCCGTTTGCCCGCGCCGCGTATATAGCTGAGTTCTTTTTGCGGATCGATCTCATTTTATGGTGCGAGAAAAGCATGCCGATGGCAGTGGTCACTACAGTGAAAATAGTCGTCAAACCCGCGACGACAATCCAGGCGTTCGGGCTCAGACCAACAAAAATCGTTTCACCACCGCTATCAATGCTAATCGATGACGCAGCACCGGCTGATGCTCCTGTGGGGATTACAGGAAAAATGTTGAGACCGCAGTTCACCTTGGAATCCGCCAAGAGATTCATAAAGCCGCTTGTGCCCCACGAGCTGCCGTACGAATTTTTGAGGATCCAGTAGTCGCCGTGCGAGGCATCCGTACCGTAGCCTACAAGAACCATGGCGTGATTTACGTCGTTCTTCGAAGACAGGTCACCGTTGTTGGGACAGCTATAAAAACCGCCGGCATATTCACCGAATGGGTCTTCCGAGTTAATTGCAACTGCAATCGGCTGCTTTTCCAATGCCAAGCGCAGCAAGACACTGCAGGTGCTGGATGCCGTGCAGTCCGTACCCACAACCTGTTCCCAGCCCGTGATGCTAGCAGCAGTTTCATTGGCACTCACATTGCATAACAGCGACGCCTTATCAGAGGCCGTGTGGCTGGAGGCGGAGTCGTCGTACGGCATCGTGAGCTCCGTCACAAGACCCCATGAGCTCTGCGCAGCGTCGATAAAAGCGCCGTGGGTCATGCCACCGTTACAACCATCGTTCTGTGACTCCCACTTGATGTCTCTCTCCATCCAAATTGCGCCATCCACTCCGTCATCAGTTGCCCAACAGTATTCAAAGGTCTGCGTCGTCTCTAGTCTACTACATGTCAAGAACTGCTGTGGGGAGAGCGACACCGCCGCCGATGCATTCTCCGCAATCACAACAGCTGTCTCAATAGCATCAGCAGCAGCAAAAGCCCAGCAGCTGCCACAGTTCTGCTGACTCTTGACTGACGAGCATACGCTGTGGCCGAATGGATTTTCTTTGCCGCACCAATTCCAGTACTTGGAGCCATCGACGTGAAACACTTTGCTAGAGTCCTTTGCTAGACTGTCATTAGTCTTCGAGACTAGACGACGAGATCGCGCTGATTGGACCTCCTGGTCCACAAGCTGCTGGGGCGAGAGACGGCGCCAAGTGGACGATGTCAAGTGACGCTCGTTCACGCCCATGTGATACGAGAAGACGTGGTCAACACTCTTGGCGTGCATGTGAACATCCTCAATGTACTTCATGTGATTTTGCAAGTTTCGGCTGTAGTTTTCCTGGTCATGATAGGACACGAAATGACGCTGAACAAGTAATTCGCGCAGGGTCGTCGATGCGACAACCTCGTTGTTCTCACCCACCCAGAGGCATGGAGATTCAGCAGAACGCACAGCAGGGCAATCTACAAGTGTACCGAAAGAGCGTGTCGTGGTGCTATGTGCGGTAGATCTAGCGACAATAGCAGTAGAAAGCATAAAGAGAGAAGTTTGCACGTGCATGTTGACACTTTGACTTAAATAGGTGCTGTCTCTTTCAAAAGCGGTCAAAATAAATAGCCTTTTTGGTAAAATACAGTAAAATAAAGAGTCTCACGCCTCAGACGGGGATGTGGGCTTAGTGATACATTCTGGTTAGATTTGCCTTTTACCGGCAAATTGTACGCAAAATAGAGTTAGGACTTGTATGAAGGAACTAATATGGAGAACTAACTTGACCAAAGTTAAGGTTTCTCACTGTCTGATAGCTACAATGATCATCGTTCAGTCAGCAGATCACCTATAGGTTGCTTCATTGCTGGCTTTGGTTTCATCGGATACAAATACACTCAAAGTAGGTTTTGCATCTGTTCGTCCTTTGTCGTCTGTCATTTTTGCAGTCGCACTGTAGACAATAGGGCACTTTAATGAGCGGTGACCGTATGCAAGCAAGAGCTACACCATGAAACTTGCACTAAATAGTACCACGTTGGAGTACTAGTCACTTCGGCACCTTTGGTGCATCTTAGTGGTCTCATTCAGCTTCTTTTTTGTAAGAGACGAGGAATCTCGCGCTGTTGGCAGCTGCCAAGTTATGAGCATCTTTTGTCTGTAATTAGCAAAGCCAAGCCCGTTTTCCTCTTCATGCCGACGGTCATGGCCGTTAAAGTTTTTAAGTTGTCAGTCTCTGTCGTTTGGCGATTCGCTGCCCTCGATGATTTGCCTGTATTTTCATATTTGCAGGATCTGTGTGTCGCGTAGTAAGCTTCTGTATCTAGAAGCTACTTTCTGACAACACAATGGCGACTCAATCAAGTCCGACTGAGGACACTCCGCTGCAGATGAAGACGAAGATTAATGAGCCGCAGTGGACGCGCTTTCTCGCCGGTGGAATGGCATCGGCGACCGCCGAGCTGCTGACGCTGCCAATTGATATCACCAAGGTGCGGTTGCAAGCGCAGCGTTCTGGCTCTACTATAGGCGGCAAGCCGGTGGTGTATTACAACGGTATGGTCCATGCCGCGCAGACCATAATCAAGCATGAAGGTCCCGGTGCACTTTGGAATGGAGCCACGCCCGCGTTGCTGCGCCAAGTCTCATACACGAGTATCTGCATGGTGCTATATGAACCGCTGCGCAATGCATTTGGAGCTAACGTTGCTCACAGTATAAATGGCGAAGTACCGTTCATCAACAAGTGTTTTGCGGGAGGATGTGCCGGCATTATTGGCATCAGCATTGCCAACCCGTGCGTTGGCGCCGTCTTCTTGTTTTCTGTCACTGATTCACTGATGCTTTAGCGTTGTAGTGTGGATGTTATTAAGGTGCGAATGCAGGCGGATCGTTCGGGCAAGCTGTACCGTGGTGTGAGTGATGCATTTGGTGTAATTTATCAGCGGGAGGGTATGCGCGGATTTCTTCGTGGCATGCCGCCCAACATTCAGCGTGGTTTTATCGTAAATGCAGCCGAGCTCGGCACGTACGACCACAGCAAGGAGCTATTGATTTCTTCAGGGCTGTTCAAGGAGGGAATGCTTGCACATACTGGTGCAAGCTGTGTGGCAGGCTTTGCTGGTGCGGCTGCATCTAACCCGTACGTGCATCATCTGCTTCCAGCATAAAGCGCATTTTAAACTGACATTATGCTTTGAAATGTCTCTCACCTGCAGGATCGATGTGGTGAAAACACGTTTAATGAGTCAGTCAACGGACGCAAGTGGTAAGGAACTTCATTACAAGGGCATGATGGACTGCATGCGAAAGACGTTCAACGAGGGTGGTGCGAGTGCTTTCTACAAGGGCTTCATCCCGAACTGGATGCGAAAGGCGCCTTGGTGTATCGTATTCTTTGTCATGTACGAAAAGTATCGTGCAGCATGGGTGCCTAGCGACGAGTTGCAGACCGTAAGATTGCCAGCAAGTGCTGCTAGATCGAAAGATTCGTAAAAGAGAAGTAAACCAAAACAAGATATAACAACGCTTGTCCATGACATGTATTTGAATAATCTCCCGCTAAACCATTTTGCACGATGATAAATAAGAGTACAACATCCTTTCTAATGAAGGCAAAGCGCGTCCTTAGCGAAAGCCAAACTCTCCGGAAGCTTATTCGCCGCTTCGTTATTGGTATAAGCCCGACGCTGCCAGTCTGCTTCAATGTCCATCACATTACACTCATTTGGTAGTTTACGTACAACTCTGGCGTGCGTCTTCTGACTGTTCTTTTGTTCATCAGTCACCAGTGCTTGCATTTTGCTTACCACTTGAGCTCCTCAAAGTCGTGCATCTGCATATACCATGTAGACCGCGGCGGTGTGAGATAATGCATAGTCGCTGCTCGCGGAGGCAGGTTCTTAATCAACTTGTCATGCAACTCAATAAATTCGTCCGTCTGCACTACATTAATCTTCTTGTTGTCTGTTGGAATGGAAAATTTGCCATTCTTAGGCAACATTACAATGGGAAGGCGCTCCTTGGCACGATCCTCAGCCGACCACCGACTGCGTGAGATGACATGCACGTTCAAATTCGAAAACGATCCATTCATTAATCTGTTAGAAATGGTGCTCTCAACAGAGGGCTCGCGAGTCTCGTCTTCTTCCTCTTCTTCAGAGTAGTAGTAAGCTGGACACGTCTGTCGAAGACGGGCACTATAATCATTGCTGCTGCTGTTATTCCTGGCAAAAAGTGAGCGACGGAAGCGATCACGTTCCTGTCGTCGGCTTTCCAGCATTTCTTCACGTGACATGCTCTGTTGATTGGCACTGTCATTAACAGGCAATACCATAGCGTTGCCACTACCGCTTAAAAAGCTGCCATTGTTACTGCCACTGTTACTGTTAAAGCTGCCATTGTTACTCCCAAAGCTGCTATGACGGACACGATTGGTACGATTAAGTGTTTTGAGCATCTTTTGCAACGCTACAAACGTCTCATCCACCTCGTCATCTTCGCCAGAGAAACTCGGATCGTCTCCAGACGTGCGACCGCTGAAAGACGGAATCTTCTTGGATAAACGTGTTTCGACCATTGCCATATTATTTACTTTATATATTATTATTGTATCACCTTTCTCTTATGGTTCATAAAGTCAGCAATACCAAATGCTTTTACTTTACTGGAAAACCAACGTGCGCACTCGCGTGCTTACGATTCGGTGAGGTGAAAACTGCTTTTTTCCTGTTCTCCTCTTTACTTTGTGGACAGCACGTATGAAAGTGATAACGATTCTGTGATAGGTGCAGAAATGAAACAATCGGTTTTGTCAGAATCGTCTTGTAATTGGTCGAAAATACGTCTCGTAATGTTCGTTCTTCAGAGCTTGCTCAAAGTTCACTTGTCCAATGTTGTTAAAATGTCGCGTGTACAACTATCATTCTTCTTGGCGCTCGTTGTGAAACTGTCACGCGTAACGATATGCGTTGCAGCCACCGTTATGTGGATAATACATACTACCGTCATCTGTATTTCATACATGCATTCTACATTGTAACATGAGTTCAATGTATTTATTACGCAAGACCACTATTATAAGGACTAGAGTTGAAGTGTATGTATGTATGTATGTATGTATGTGGCATTGGCCTCTGCCGTAGTTTTGCTGATACAGTCTTATAGTGCTGCACATACACAATGCAATTTAATATATACAGGTTAGGCGAATTGGTTCAGTAAAAATGATATTATCAGCTTTTGCCGCATTTAGATTCGTGCGAATGTCGCACAACTGAAGTGCACGCCCGTCTTCAAGCTCGTAAACGTCCAGCCATCATATCATGTTTATGCGCGTTTACCCAATGTGACAGACGTTGAGGCGACCTTTTTTCGCGGCGACTAGTGGACGAGATCATGCACCGATCCAACCATTAGCATATCTTGGTTGACTACATCCTGTGAAGCTTCAACGCCGAACGCCTAGGTCCTCGTCCACTTTTACCTGCTGAGTACGTATTTTTAACCTCAATCTCAACTGCATCGTGGCTCACTACGATAGGGAACGAGAAAAAGACAGGCTTTGCTAGATTACGGTCCTCGTTGTCCTACTGAACAAGTGTCATTCCTCTGCACAAGCTGACGCGTGAAAAATGGCCAAGAGATGGAGGCCGAGAAGAATTGGTTGTTTGAGCACGGTATTAAATGTAAACTGCTTTTTCAGATCAGAGAAGTGGGGTGCAACACGCAGACGGAACACGCTTCTTGTAAGAGTCGGTTTGCGAGCGAGACAAAGGAACCTTTCTTGCTAAGATAACGGAGCACAGGAGAAATTTGCAGCTACAAAGCGACTGCATTGTGTTTAGACTTATCGTAGAAAGCACGGAAGCGCCTGTCTAGTGCAGAGAAGAGCGCAGCACGAACAGCGGCGGTTTATTAGAGTATAAAGAACTGTGGAGAAGCAGATGAGCCGCTAGGTCTAAATTTTCCTACTGCTTGATTGTTGGTGAGTGAGTTACCTACGTCAGCTTGCGTCGAAAGGTTGGTACACCACAGTTTTATTTTGCACTGACTTGCTATCTGACAAGGCAGCTCAAGCTGAAACAATGATCACGGCTGCACAAAAAGTGTCTTCATGCAAGTCGGTTGGACATGAATTGCGTCTACCAAAAGTCGTAAACGCATTTTCCGATAAAAAGTACTTGACGTCGTCGAACTTGGCAAAACAAAAGTCAATCAATCGAATGAAAGTGTTATCAAACACGAACGCTTCAGAATGAAAACACAGCAAGTGTGGTCAAGCAGAAAAGGCAACAAACCAGTTGATGAATTGTCACGTGATCGCAACCCATGGCTTGCCAAATGGAAACATTGCACGAACCATCTTCAGAATACCGTTAGTGGATTATTAGCTGTGAAGAACGTTGTGAATCAGTTTCTCGAACGGATGAAGTATGAGATTTAGTAAACGATACACAGGCAAGTGAGCATATTCTTAGCATACGCAATATTTTACGTTGTTCAAGCGTGCTGTGCGTCACAACAACTCAAGGCATTCATGGCGAAGAAAAAAATGAGAGAAAGACAAACCGATAACAAGACATACACATGATACAACGAGACTGCCAAATCAGGTAAACACCAGGCGTCTATTCACTCTCATTTTTGTGCCCGTGTCAACATCGCGTCCAGCCTACAAAATGACTGGGTTTTCACCCACTTGGCCAACAAATTCGTGTGTCTCGCCCATAAAGATCTTAAGCTTCTTGTCCTGCAGCGCGCGCATGCGATTCCGAGGCAACATACCAAACACTGCCTTGCGCAGCACCTCCTCAGGCTTGCGTTCAAACTGCTCCTTAGCCGTACGCTGCTTGAGACCACCTGGATGGCCTGTATGCCAGCGATATAGCTTCTTATTCCACTTGTTTCCTGTGAGCACAATGTCCTTGGCATTAATCACCACTACATAATCTCCACAGTCCACGTTGGGAGCGTACGTAGGCTTGTGTTTGCCACGCAAAATGGGTGCCAGCTGTGACGCTAGTCGTCCGAGCACTTGACCTTTGGCGTCGACTACGTGCCACATCACCTTGGAAGCCTGCGCGATTTTGCTCATGATTTCTACAAACTCACGCTCACGTCAGAGACCGCTTTCAAAATAGTATTCCGATTAAGGCCATCCATTACCCGTGTGCAACCGGTATCAAGAGTTGATATCGGTTTAATATAAAGTATCTAAGGTTCTGACCAGGTTTTTTTTTATCAACTTCACTGCCGTTAATAACGTTTTTTTGACGCATTCACCTCAATTGAACATCTGACAGCGTAGTAACAATGGGCCGCTACACGACGATTCAAACATTAAGTGATCAGGACGCACAAGGCGCTGCTTTACCTTATACATCAGTGGTCACACCATTGGAATCTTCTAAAGATGTTGCGGATGGTGTTAGCGAGATGAAGGACACGAAGCTTCGTGTCAACCGAGTAGAAAATGTATCAGGCAGTGGAGCAGGTGCTGGAAGTGGTGAATTCCACACGTATCGTGCTGCTAGAAGACGGTGAGACAGTTGGCACATGCACTATAGTATGTTTCGACTAACTTTTGTGTAATTTTCAGAGAGATGGAGCGCGTGGAGATGCTGGAGACGCGCTACAAGCAGAACAAAGCCCAGCAGGAATTTCAGGCTATGCGCAAGCGCAAGGTTGAAGAATTTGAGGCCAAAATACAGAAGCGCGCAGAAAAACGTCGGCGACGCAAGGAACGGTTCAAGATGAAAGCTTTGGATGCAGTTCAAGAGGAGCAGAATGCGAACGAGAAGGAGAAAGAGGATAGTGTGAAAAAGGAGGAGCAGGTACCGGAGACTCCAGGTGGTGTGGCGGAGGTTCCTAATGACGGAAGCTTTTTGGAGAAAATGCTGGCCTTGCAGAAGGAACAAGAAAAAAGCAAGGAGAAGTGAATCGAAGCAATTGCACTGCAACTACATTTGGAACTGGTATCTTCACAGATGCGATGTTATTCGCTAGTAATTCAAAAATAAATGCAACCGCACATGATCCCGTGCAGAAGACCGAGCAGTATCACCTGCTGTTCCAACTGTACGCATTATAGATCTCAGGGAATTTTAGGTGCTCGATATACTTAGTAGCGAAGCCATATATGTGTCATTTTTGCGTACTTTGTCGGCGTGCTGACACGTCGTCTATGTCTTATGTAAGGTGCAGCTGTGTCCTCACCGACAAACGCATTTGGATATCCGTCATATGAATGGAAAAGTGACAATCAGCTCTTGAAACACTTCAGTAAACTTGCTGCCTCTACACAGCTAGTATAGCGCTATATGTACAGCGTTTAGCACGTTGCGAAGAACCACTTTCGCCTACCAATAACTATAGAAAATGGATCGATGTGCGGCTAGCTATCAAATGTGGCCAAGACACACCATGGATACCTGCCTACCACAAACCAAGCGCACACTTCACTCTTCACCGCTATTTTCTTCTTCTTCGTCATCAAAGTGACCTTTGCGGCGATTCCGGTTCACGTGCATTTGGGCAAACCCGGATTCCACCATCGTTAGTCCTTTCGAGGACGACACTGCAGACTCCTGAGACGCTTGTTTATCAGCACATTCGTCTTCTTCTCCATCCTTGTCCTCTTCGTCATTTTCAGCAGCATCTCCTTGAGTTCCTGCCTGCTCGGTGAGCAAGGTGTCAAATTCTACAGGCCTAGTCAAGAAAACAAACAAAATCAATTCCTACAACTGACTCACAATCATCAAATTATTGCCATACACGACCGCACCAAAGATCTTTTTGCTTGAGGCTTTTAATCTGTTCCTTATACAATATGTGCACCACAATGGACGTTACGGCGCCCTTCGTGCCCTTAGCAGTTGTTGTCTCTCCTCCGTCACCCTCTCCGACAATCAAAAAGTCACCTATACACAACATAAATACATAATAATCACAAATCATCACTACATCAGTTCATTGCATGCACTTCGATTCCAAAGAGGCTAAACGCCTTTTCAACAGCTCGTTTTAGGCCCTTTTCTTTAAAGTCCTCTCTCCACCTTCAAAATCTCCCCAATAGTCTCAATTTTTACCTCGTTTGACCCAAATAAGTTTGCGAAATTTAGTCGGCAACATCGTGACAGATTTGTCTCCATGGGCGTCCACGACCTATAATTCATTCAAACAGTCAGCACCATCAGACCAAAAAAGCTGAAATTTGCAGCCTTCAGCGCACTTCAAACAAGTTACTGCCTCGTAGCGCTATGACGCGGACAATCAGTTCGTTATCTTTCGGCTCCGGGTCGCCATACAATACACGCTTGGTTACACCCTTACGATACGCACTCTTCCGTCCACTACCAGACATGGTCACTTGTGAATTTAAGACCTAAATTCGATTCGATTATAAATGCTGCTGAAGTAACGCCAAAGTGGTTTCGTAGTAACTTAAAATGAATCCGTTAAAACATACAAAACGTAAAACTAAAAGCAATTACCAGTTAAATTTTTGGTTTTACTCTCGTCAAGTCGCTTCATAATATTTTTCCAGAGTTCCAATGGCTGGACGAGGTCGTGGACGTGCCAATACTCTGCCAGCATGGATGACCAAGCAAGGTCTCAATGCGCCTCCTCCTCCTCCTGGACCCGCAATGGATTCACGTCCACCTCCAGTCGCAGGTTCAAGACCTCCTCCCCCCACCACGTCATGGACAGTTTGACGATGCGCCTGAGCCAGTACCTCGCTCACCAATGAGACGAAACAATATGGATGACTCTACCAAGCGACGTTCACGCTCTCAAGAACGTGGCAATGAGCGTAATGGTAGTGAATATAGACGCCCACCACCAATACGAGAACGGTCTCGATCACGAAGCCGAGGTAATGGCCGTTACCGTGATCGTGATCACGGAGTGGACAAACGTCGGGAAGACTCACACCGACGTGGACGCTCACGTTCTCGTGGACGTTCACGGGAACGTGAACGTCGGGATCATCGTGGTGAATCTCGCCGTGGAGGTGGTGATCGCAATGAAGATCGAGGTTATTCGGTGCGCGGACCAAAAGCTGATGAACAACGTCGTAACGATGGACGTCCTGTGCGCAGGGACGAGGAAGCGGTGGAACGCGGCTACCGACGCACTTCATCTAATGGACATGATGACCGCACGTCTCGTAGATATGCAGCAGACTATCAGCCGTAGATGACGGCATGACGGCAGTGGCCCACTAATTCTTCGTTTTTGAATGTTGAAGATGCATTTTTAATCAAAACACGCGGGGAATCGTCGCACGGAATTAAGACGCATTACCGAAAAGGAGATGAAATATTATAATAGCAAGAGGCTTGCAATGCATCGCTAGAGCGAGTAAAATTACACTCTCATCTTTATCGGGATCAAATTGTGTGCATTCTGCTTGACACTTGTGCTTCTTGTCTTTCTCCATCTGCAGGTTCCACGTGGTCAACGAGATAGGCTCTGCTGCTGTGTCGTCGTTGCCTGATTCGATTTCGATCACAATGTCGGACATCCTGACAAGACACAAGGGTGCTGCTGGCAACAAAGCCGAAGCCACTTCAAACGCAAAAATGCAACCTGCTCGTGCACTTTTCTTTTCCGAAGAATCGCCTCATAGGCTACACGTTCAAAATAACTCGCTGCTGCTGTCACAAATCCTGGGTACAGCTGGGATGGAATCAAACATATCATATTCAAGATCATCAAACGAGTGCGAAGCAAGCACAACTGAGCTGAGCTGTTTTTTTTTGTAATGCAAAACGCTGTCATGAGTAAATAGCTCCAGAAATGGGACGATCATGGGCTAGATCTTCGTTCACAGCAGCATGATCACAACCGCAGAGGAAATACAGCAGCAGAACAACTGCCACTTGATCGCCCTGAACCAATATTCTCGGCGTCACTCGACGACGCTCTACCAGAGCATGGACAATCGCAAAAAGTTATGTTGACCCAATATCTGCGTGAATCTTCAGGCTCAACTGCTGATACAGTATTCCATAGGCGACTTTCAAACTCATTCTGCTTCACGTGCCATTAGTAAAAGGCGTACCAGCATAGTTGACGTCGTCAGCTCACTATCCACACCAAGAAGAGTCCCACGAAATCTTGAGTGATGGAACCAATGACCACACTAGTTTTGCCACAAGTTTGAAAGCTGCTTAAGACGTCATCACTTCTTTGAATCAGTCCATTGTAGTTCGCTTCGATACCGAAGCGACGACGAAAGCAACGGTACCGATATTCTTAAGTTGAATAACCTTTCATCAGCGCGTCCTCATCTTTGCAGTGAAGATTGTAAACCCTTGCAGAATCTGCTAAACGCGTAACCACGATATGCTACAACTTGAGCCTTGAGTGCCCATTATATGGCTTCTTTTCTGCGATATTGCACATTCTCCGCTGATTACATCTTACATTTACTCATCGCCGCTTGCCTTGCTTTCAACTGTACAGGGCTAGTGTACGAAGGTCACGGATACAACCTGAAGTTCCAGAAAGGTACGACTGCACTGCGTATTGAAGTAGCCCACATGCTTACTTCAACCTTGGCGTCTTCTTTTCCATTGCAAAGGCGTCGTACGCGCTTTTTTTCTGGCGCTGCATCGGTGCTTTTTTTCTGGAAGGTTACGCTGGCTTGCCAGTCATTGATAATGCTACTCACCTTAGCTTGCTGTTATGTTTTAGACGCTGAATCTCGCAAACCATGGAGCGTGGCTACTCCACTAACGCAGCAGTTTATGCTTAACCAAGCACAGTTAGGATGCCCACGACCACCGGTAGACAGATTTGTCGTACTAGCACCGAAGTACAGGTTGTAGCTAAAAGACACGGAAAGAAAGATACCACATGCTTTATTGAGAAAAGCTCGCAGAAAAACACGGAAGAGTCAATGAAGCTCCTCACAATCAGCATTAGTACCAGTCCACCTCCTGCAAAATCAGCTCGTCCACTCTGTGTGGATGAACAGCTTCCATCCTTGTATCTTTCAGCATTTCGAGTCGTGCAACCTGAGCGCCCTCGACACACACCGCTACGCAAGCTCCCTGCGCGCATACTTTCCTTCCTCCATAAATTCGACGGCCACCGTTCGGTTTGAAAACCCGCGACCGTGTAATTCAGTGGCTGCGCCCTGGGCCGCCTGCACATCGTCAAACTCAACAAAGACCTTACCGACGGCACTAGGGACACCATCACGCGGGCGTGGAAGCAACAGTGACGGCACGGTACCAAAGCGTTCACACTCGCCCTTGATGTCATCTACAATGTCAGCATATTCTTCCTCGTCCTCAAGCTCTTCCGGCGTCACCATGTTGAGCAGCACAATGACACGAGAGGGGTTACCCAGCGGCACACTAGGGATACCTGCCATTGTCATAGCCTGCATCGCAGCTCGCGATGGATCTAAACCCAATTCTAGGCCAGTGTTCACTGTACCTGCAGCACTGGCGACGGCCTTAGCATTTTCTTGCGACATCGCTCGACGTACTGTAAGAGTCTTGTCACCAAGGCGCATGTCGTTCAGCCCGACACATGCAGCATCTGTCACGTTGATATCCATGTACTCGCAGAACCCATAGCCCTTCGACAGGTTGGAGCTAAGCTCCTTGACAAGATGAAATGACCGCAGCGGGCCGAACGCTTGCAACAACTCTTTTACCTGCTCTTCGTTGAGGTGGTACGGTAAACCGCCAATGAAAATTTTACCTGGACCATCGCTCACTGTCGTGGACACAATGCCCAAGGCTGCCAGATTGAGCTGTGGAATCGGTCCTAGATCCTTAGGAACCGTAGCCGGATTGTAATCATTTGGTCGACGGATTTTCAGTGGTTGGCCATTGTACGACACGCCATCGAGGTTCATGCAGGCCGTAGTCAGCTCAATAGTGCGCAGTTCCACAAAAGCAAAATGACGCTCGCGATTAATGTACACAGACACAACGGAGCCACCTTCCTGCTTCTCACCCAGTGCGCGGTCAATGACATCGTTAAAAAACACAGTAATCTCTGCCTCTGAAATTTCGCCAATACCACCAACATACAGTCGACGCGCATGGCGTGTCTGTTGAGACTGGCCTGTAAACGCGTATGCCGTACTGGCTTGATGCGAATGCGAGTACATCGGTTGCGCCGGTGGAACATTCTAAAACAAAACGATCAGAAAATGAAACAAGTTAGCGGAGATGCGAGTTTAGTCGCGGTCGAACTCAGCGCCACTCCAAAGCATTGCACAGCTGCGAAGCAAGCACTTCGATGGACAGACAGCGAACAACGAAATACACAACGACATCGTGTCAGCGGTTGTCGCTCTACGTGCTGTTGGTTATCGCCATCCAAGTGCTCAACACATGAGACAAATGAGGCTGGGAAGAAGACATACAATTGACTCACCCCAATAGGCACCGCTGGGGTCTGCGGAGCTCCAAAGGACGCTGGACCCACTGATCCAGATAGTGCCGCCATATTCTGCTGCAAAATCGCCTGTGCTGCATAGGCAGCAGCATTTTCTTCCGTCACTCCTGGTGGCCGCACGTCAAAGTTGGATTTCTTGCGGCGACGAACGACACGCGACGAAGAGTGCGAGCGACTGCGTTTGGATGCACGGCGGTCCACGCGGTCACGGGACCGGCGGCGATCGCAATCTCGGCTACGACTGCGACGATCACGGGACGAGCGGTGTCGTGTCGATCGTCGTTCTTTGCTGCGACTGCGATCTCGACGGTGTGACGAGGACGAGCGACTACGGCGACTGCTACGATGCAAGCTGTGGCGTCGGCCATCATCCGCAGGTTTTCCACTGCTGCTATTCAAGACTTCCTGTCATACATAATACATGCATTAGAACAGTTTAACTCAATACAATACCAAAGAGGTCTTTTATATACCGGAGCATCAGAGAACTGTGACGGCACTGATGACTGTATTTGCTGATGTTGAGGACGAGGAGGAGGATGCAAAGACGCAGAGCTATTTGGTTCAGATTCGTTCGTCTGCTGCTTTTTCATCCATGCGGGCAGCGTAAGCTCTCGTCCACGGCCGGCCATGGTGGATTATTAACTCTACGTCCACCACTCCTCCTTAGACCCTTTCAAATATGATACTGCAATATATTATGCTGTCTTTTATGTCGTTAAGTGCGGTTATAGAGATTACTTGTTCTTTTTACAATATTTGAACCAATTACGTACTGCAATTAATTTATAAATGAATAAACACGAATTAGACAAATTAATTTTGGTAAAAACGCTCGATCTGGATAAATCGTAGCAAAACTACCGGCGACTATCACTAAATATTTACCATAATTGGTCATATCGCGAAACATCTGCTCATTGGCTGATCTAGACCATTATATCAGCCAACACGGCGATCCAATCAACAAGTCTACTTAACACAGTTCCCCTTATTTACAAGCAAATGTTCTGGCTGAATAAGTAAGCTTCTTCTTAGCACATGGTGTGCGTGAAGTCTCAAATCACGCGCTTGCACTTTCACTGACATCAAGCAGAAGTGTCGGGGTCGTAATGAGATCTGACGAGCTTCAAAGCACAAACCATGGGTTTGACCGAATGTCGGGTGCGACAAGCGATGTGCATCGATGCTTCGCGGCCTCGATCGCAACGCGACTAACTGTCGTGCTAAACAATAATTCTACATCAATGTTTTCCTTGACATCAATAGCTCTCATGAAATTATAAGCACGATAGCAATTCACTTCTACAGAGCTGGAAAGCGTTTGCTTACTGTGTTATTTACACTGGAAATAAGCCCAGGATGGACAATCTTATTGTGTTACACAATAAGTTTGCGAAGCGTTCTTTATCCGGTGCAAGATCTGAACTGGATCGGTCGTCTCAAGAGGCATGGCAAATCAGCCTCTCGTCCAGCGATCGATGCTGACATCATTAGCATCCTCGTCTTCAAGAGCGGCTTCGCTCTTGCGTTCATCCTATTCATCGATGGTGATATTATCAGCATCGGCACCACATGCAACAACAATCAAGTCATTGTACGCTAAGCGAGCCGGATTGCATCTCGCTCGAATAAGTGTCTCCCCTTCTTGAACGCGAGTCATACGGGAGTACGTGGATGATGCAAACCAGTAACGTACGACGTTGAATGCAATGTTGACGCATGCACCGAGTTTTGATGACAAATTCCTCCATTGTCAAGAGCTCGCTCCAACTCGCAAACGATTGGACGTATGTCTACAAGGACGCGGTTAGCGCGTTCCGTCTGACCATTTATCTTGGGAGTGGTCAGAAGATGACATATTGAGACGTGTACCGAGTGATTGGAACACGGAGCGCCATAACTCCGCCGGAAAGCGGGGGTTCCTGTCGTACACAATTTCACATGAAGACGAAAGATGGTGTCGAGAACACACGAGAACAGCCTTCTGCTTTGATCGACTCCGGTACAGCAACCTTGCTGAGACGGCAAACGAACACAAGAATACCATTATATTCTTGTTATCTTTTTCGGAAGACCTGAAGACTAAGTTCACTAAAACGGCAGCCTCGTTTGAGTGGTTTTACGCTTAATACTTAAGCTTACGATTCTCTAGCTCTTGGCATCGACCAAAATTGTTAGAAGCCCCACAGTCGACTAGAGCCCGAAATGACATGTATTTTGTCGCTTCAAGATTCAATGTGATAAGAGGTCTCTCATTACCAAGAGCCGCAGCACACGAGGACTGTTTGCTTGGAGCAACCTTCGTTAGGAGTTCTGCAAATTATCTTAATGTTGCTGGATAAGCAGTCCGCCCCTACGGACCCTTACTGTTTTCTGACCGTCCCTCACAAGTTGCGTTTATTAACAGCGTGAAAACCATGTATCTGGCCCTTTTTGGCTGACGGACGGTCTTCATGCTCAGTGTGACGAGACACCGGTTGTGGGCCACCATTCGTATAAGTGTAGTGCACTTTCACAATCGCTTGTATCCTGAGAGCGAGGTATCTCGTTTTCTACATTAAAGAATTCCATTGGCTCGAAAATTCGTCCGTCGTCCATGGCGTCGTCGGGCCCGACGAACCATCGTGACAGGGAGTCAGTCTCGGCTGCCCTGTACTTGGACCTCAATCTTCAAGGAGTTTGGTCGAAGTACATGCGTCGACTTGGCAGCAGCATCTACTTTCTGCTGTCTAGACAGCTCAGACTGCTCAGACCCCAGCTGTCGCAACATCATCCTGTTGGGCTCCTTGCTCTCTCAACAAGTCAGCCTGTTTAACACGTTGCTGCTTCAGGTTTCACCTCTTCATCGTTTCGCCAAGCTCATTTGAATGAACGTGGCAATGATCCTATGTTGCTCGTTCCCATCAAGCGAGAGCGACGTGGCACCGAAGTCCTCAGCCATTTGCTGTACCACCCGCTATTTAAGGCCACTTGAATGGCACAAGCTCTCACGCGTGGTGTGGAACTTTTCACATTCGCAGGCCTCAAAGCGGATGTTTCCATGTTCGTTGGATATAACACGAATGCTGCTAGGCACCCTCCGACTGTACTGACAACAGGATTGTCAACTTGCACTGACACCGTGCATGTGGGTGTCTTGAAGCGTCACATACACAAATGTGGTGAAGCGTTTCAAGAATTGGTAGGTTGTAGGACCGATAGGTCAAAGAGAAGGGGAACCTCCAAGGAGGAGCGACCGCTGGATAAGGGATAGAGAGACGGGGCACTAAAAGGGACGGCGAACGACCGTTGGATAAGGAAAATGTACGGTACAAGCGTGCTCCATTCAGAGAAGTTACCGTGGTTAGGCCGATGGACCGCGGTTCCTCGAGGTGGGCCCCGGTCTTCCAAAATAGACCCTGGTCTATTATTGGTAGGCCTCGGTTTTTCATAAAGGTAGACCTTGGTCCTTCGGTCGGTGGACCCTCGGCCCCTGTCACCAAAGGTCGACCTTAGTCCTGTATCGACGGACCTCGGTCCCTCGGCCTCTCGGCCCCTCGGGCCCTGGCAAGCAGAATCAAGAATCAGGTCTTGAGGGTAAAGATAGAGTAAAGAAGTTAAAAATAGGACCATATTAAATACTACTCAATTTGCGATCTACATAGCACGCTCCCGTCGTGCTTCCAAGGTACTTACTAAGTCTACACACCTGTTCCGGGAAGGGATACATTTTGGCCCCCCGTCCAAGATAGTTGTGTGGTAAGTAAGACCCAAGTGCAGATAGAGCCCCACAATATATTTGGTCTGTGGTTTTGTCTGAGTAGCACCCCCCCCAACTCAACCTGCTATCGGAAGCGGTCTCCCTACTCTAGTGATCCGGGAGCAAGTAAAGGCTACGTGGTTAACACCCCTAAGACATCAAGAAAAAGGAAGGAAAAGGCCAGGGTTGAGAATCTCCTCTGAAGAGTTTGGTTATAAGTCCACCCTCGACCTAGTCGACCGAGTGGCCACCTACCCGCCTACCAAATGAAGTATACCCACTCGAGGCACCCTAAGGTCGACCTCTCTCAAGGCCGACATCACATCTCAACCAAGTCCTCCGAAGGGTGCAACTCGCCAGACGACGGGTACACAAGGATGAGAGAAGGTCGATACGCGGCATCGGGGTACCCCCTCCAACAGTCGGAAGTCCGGCACAGTGAGTGGCTTGGGTTCTCATTACGCAGTTTTGATAACCCATTCCACCACAATGGTGCGCGTGCCCGGATCTTCGGAAGACGTGGGATATCACCGCGAGTCCCAAAAAGATGAAAATGTTCAGCAAACATTGAGTAAAAGACCGAAGAGTCACTGGAAAGACCGATCGCCAGTGACTACACAAGAAAACAACAATGGAGCGAAGAACCGACCGGACCTTGGGAGGGGCAGATGACATGGACCTCGATGGACCTCCGGTGAGAAAATGTCCAATGCCACCCTGGGACAAGTGCCCAACATGGTCCCTCGTATTAAGCTCTCAGCAACCTCGGATCTCAAGGAGTCTCATGGTAAAGGCCAAGATGAGGACCGAGCACGCAGCTGGGTGACCAATGTGAAGACCGCGTTCATGAGGTACCAAGCGCCAGATGGGAGAAGCGTCTCGTTTTTGGAGGATTATTGACTGGACCTGCCCAGAGCTGGTATCGTCAACTAGGTTGCTCTTTTTGTGGAAATTGGAAGGATTTGTTACAGGAATTCCAGATGCAGTTCGGTGGTTTGGGGGTATCAGTGTCCCGCCAATATTACCACGCGAAGAAAAGGTCGGACGAATCTTTGCTGGACTACCGATACCGTCTGAATGTCATTGGACTTCGAGCGAAGATCAAGATCAAGGATGGGCCGCCCAAGATTCAAAAGGAACATGCCGAACAATACATCGCGACCTTGGACGATCCCGACCCGGCGGACCAGTTGACCGTGTTACTTTTTGTGAGAGAGCGGAGGATGTACTGAGGGCGCGTCAACGGACGAAGGCCCAACGGGGCAAGATGTTGTTTAGGTCAGGCAAGTTTGCCAGAAAGCACCGATTATCCCTGATTGGCCAAGGGAGTTGAATCGCCGCTCTGTCCATGCAGTAGGAGGGATCAAGGAAGGATCAAGCTCCGAAGACTCCAGTTTGGACAGTTTTGATAGTGACGGTGACCTACGGAAGGTCTACCTCATGGCTACGGAGACGGGGGAAGGACCTAGGGGTAAGGACCCCGAGGGACCAACTCATCAGACAGGTCGACCAGCCCCTACCCTCGGCCAAGGAGCTTGGAACCCGCACGGCGTCGGCAACCTCAAGTTGGGTCCAGGAAGCATGGAGACTTGAATTGTTGGAAGAGGCTGACCTGTGATCGCTGTGGGAAGAAGGTCCATCCATCAGATCGTTGCCGTTTCGTGTGTCGAGGCTGTGGAGAAACCCAGAGGTTGGGTAGTGCCCGATAGAAGAGTTTTATAACTTGATCCGTCAGTGGTACAACCCGAACCAGCACGCTGGGATGTTGCCGGAGAAGGTCAAGCAGATGCTAAATTAGGACGCTCGCCAGGTTTGAATTTGGTACGAGCCGAGCGTTCTAATTGTTGCATTTTTGCATATGTGGAAAAGCAGCCCAAGGGAGGAAAGGGC